AAATTTTTTTAATTATTGTTTTGCAAATAATAAAATTCAATTCATTAAATAAACTAAATAAATATAAATTTTGTACTTTGCATTAACTATAAGTCAATTTATATTGTTAATGCTCTGGAAGCGGATTTCTTAAAAGAAAACGTTCCAGAAGCAAAATTCTTAGAAAAATGCTTCAGTAGCATATTTCTTAAAGAAAAATGCTTTAGTAGCGTAGTTTTTAAAGAAAAATACTTCAGTAGCATATTACTTAAAGAAAACATTATAGAAGTGTAGTTCTTATAGAAAAATGCTCTGAAAGCGTATTTCTTAAAGAAAAATATTCTGGGAATATAATTCTTAATGAAAAACACTCTGGAAGTGAATTTCCTAAAAAAAATGCTCCAAAGCGTAATTCTAAAGAAAATGTTCTGGAAGTGCAATTCTTAAAAAAAATACTCTGGGAGCGCAATTCTTAAAGAAAAATGCTTTGGGAGCATAATTCTTAAAGAAAAAACGCTTCTGGGGTGAAATTCTTAAAGAAAAACGCTTCTGGAGTGAAATTCTTAAAGAACAACACTCTGGAAACATAATTCTTAAAAAATGAATCTCTGAAAACGTAATTCTTAAAGAAAAACATTCTGGAAGCATTTTCACTTCAAGAGAATTGATTTGGAAACGATTCTCTTAAAGGAAATCGCTTTTCAGAACTTTTCAATTACTCCAAAATTTTTTTTCATATTTTTGTTAATAATGTATACCATATGAGCTGACTTATTTGGCTCAGCTTGCCACATTTTGGACTCGAGCTGAGCTGGCTCATGAGCTAAAATAATTCAGCTCAGCTCAAGCTGATGGTGAGCCAGCTCATACAGAGCTTTAGTTTAAAGACTTGAGTTCAATTCTTAGGGTGATTTTGATGTATAACGAGGTAACTATGGTATAGGCTATCATCTTAGGTTATTCTTGACTCTCTTTTTAGTAGTTGTGATTAATGTGAATAATGATAGGTATTAAAATACTCTATCATGAGGTTTAGTGGTTTAGCAGTTCACCTAGGTTTAGCATAAATTCATACTGGATTGCAATATACCAAAGAGGATTATAGTGGTAATTATATATCATAAGTCATATCATTTTATTAAAAGGTATATAGCTAAATTTTGCTATCAGCGCGTGTCTAGTAAAATTATCAAACAAAAATGATTTTGACCATTTTACCCATTTCAGATATCCGAAATGATCCATTTTGACTTTATGTATATACTAAATACATCAGATGAATGATTTTGATCAGTTATTATTTTCGTGATATTTTATATATAGTATATCTTGCCTCAAGCGAAAAAATAAAATTTAAAAATGATATCTAATCTATATATATGATTAGTTTTCATTGAAAATCTTAAATGTTTCCATCTAATCAGACAGATATATACAAATTCTTATCAGGGTTAATCCATTTTTCTTTTATCTTTATTTGGTTTTTTTGGAATTCCTTCAAAAAATTGCAAGGTAGATCATTCATTACACCATGTCTATCTACCGATTTGTGGTGATCTACTATTTATCTGCAAGCCAACTTTCGTAAATATTGGTAATAAGAATCGTTTCTATCTTCATGGATCCTGCTAGTATAGTTCGCATCTATCTTTCTCAATTTATTCAAAATAATCACATATTGAGCTAAAGTAAAATTAATGGGATTTATATTAACTATACAGCTTTTGTTTTTTCGTAAGTAAGTGAATTTTTCTGGTATTACTTTCTGAATCTAAATATGAAACTTCTTTGCTCATATTGGATACTTTTTCATTAAAAGAAAAGGCTGAAGTTCCCTACTTCTGTTTCTTCTTTAGTTTTAGAGTAACCAATACAATACCAAAAATATTTAGGATTATACCAGATTTTATCTGATGCTTTATATTTATCAATATGAAGAGTTACCATATCTACCATATCTGCTAGTTACATGCTTAATATTATCATTATATCAACCAAATCTTTCTTAGAAGGTGATAAAGAAAAATCACATTTCTTGAGTTTTTCCTGAACCAGTTCTAAGAAGAAGTATTCAGATCAATTGATATCTTTAAATTTGTTAAGTATAAGCTATTGTATCTGAATTTTATTCGATTCAATAATAATATGAGAAATTTTGGTCACTTCTTTTTTGAGATAATCAGCTTCACAATCCCATAACATTTTTTGCAATAAAGTAAGTCAAGAATTTCTAGTGACTGAATTAGACATAAAACTTCCCAAATCATATGAAATTTGTTTTATTTTCTTAGACAGATAATTCTTTTTCATAATTTCTTGAGCAATTTTATCAATAGTATTCCTGTCATTTTCACGCTTTTCAGAAGATCGAATAGGAATAAGAATTTCTACTTGTTTCTTAGTAAATCCTAATTATCAAAAACGTGTTTTGGCATTAGATTTTACCTTGCAATTATCCTTTAAACTTTTGTTAATTTCCTTTGTGTATTTAGCTAGCTCAGATGATAGAGTTTTGAAGGTCTATTTATGGTATTCTATGAATTCTGTAGCTACTTTTACTATATTGTTTTTATGACAGTATAGTCAAAAATATTAAAACTTACTAATCTTATATTATATATAGAAAAGTTCAATTCGAAAAATTTTCTTAGAGCTAAGCTTCTTTGAAAAGGGAAAATATTGGAGATGGCTCTTGACTAGATTAAAGAAGTGAAAAAAATAATATAGCTTATGCTCTAGACTGGCATAACACATTTTTGAATATCTATAATAAAAGTGAAGATAAAGTTTTAAAATTATTAATATCAAAATATCTAGTATAACCCTTTTTACATGCCAATATATCAAGAGAGATGGTTTGATTTGTGAGAAAAGTTACTGGCATTCTGAAGGATGTTCCAAACATTTTAATGCCTGTTCTAGAATAATATGCCTTATCTATAAGCAGGAAACCTATTCTGATAACAGAATCTGTAATCACATAGTGGAATTTATGACTGTGCTTGACGTAAAAGTAAAAAAACTAAACCAGAATTGATTCCTTTGGGATCATTTGATATAATCAAGACTTAGCTGAAATGCTAATAATAGGCTGAAGTATTATTTTTCTTGCTCTATAGAATTAAAGAGTTCCTGAATCTTGTTATCTGTATTCAGTAAAGATAGGCATCATAATTAAGAAGTTGCAACTTGGTTGCAACTCCTTGTAAATTTATTTTAATATAAAAATTCATAAATGTTGCAACTCAAAGTGTTGCAACTTAAGTTGCAACTAGTTAAAAATTTTAAAAATAATTATGGGAACTATCTTTAGTATTCAGCTTATATGGTAGAAACTCTAGCATATCTTTATCTTCAAAATCAGTACTACTATATAGCTGGTGATTAATTTTATATGAGTATTGTCTAACTTGTTATCCTTTAGGCTTTATTCTTTGTTATCATTTTTAATGGTATATCTATACTAATTACTAGTAATTGTATTAATTGCTTGTATAGCTAATTTAAGATCTAGTATTTTCTTTATACAAGACTTAAAACCAAAGAGTAATAAAAATTGGTTTCAGATTTCTATAAACTTTTTACAAGACTGTAAATGATTCTGATGCAGTATTACCAGAAAGAGCATGCTTATCATCAATGCTAGTAAAGCCTAGTATTTAAAAAGTTCTTGTATAACTTTCCAATGATTTGCCGAATAAGATTTATGCAAATTCTCTGCTACTGATTTTTCAGATTCTCTTCAGCTTTATAGCAGACAATTTCCCATTATACATTTTCCTCAGCTTTCAATTCCTTCATTGTGCTCTTCTTATTATGATCTTGTCTTCGAAAATATCAACTGTAAGAAATACTTTCGAGCTTTAGGTGAACTAAAATTTTCAACGAATTTTCTATTGTAAATATTCATATCTTTGCAATAAAGATTCTACATATAAAAATGTTTAAGTGTCATAGTATCTGCAATAGAAAGCTTTTGGTCGAATTTAAGGACTTTAGCTTCTTCAGGACTAAGATTTCAGAAAGTAACAATTGTATTAAAATCTGTATTCTTAATAACTAATATTTTAGCCCTAATCTCATTATGGATTTTTTTATGATTCCTAGCTTTTATCCACTTTTATTAATTGGAGATTAGCATTAGTACTAGCTATGAGATTACAAAGTTTTTCAATAAAATATCTTGCAGAAAGACATTTTTGATGCTCAACTTCAATGAAAGTTATTACAGCCAGAGACTCATCAACTTTAATTATTATTCCATTCACGATATCCCTTTATTGCTTAGGTAAATTATTAGACTGAGCACTTGCAAATTCTGCCTGAATATTTTCACGACCTGATGGATGAAAAAGTTCATTAAAATTTTTCTAATAAAATAAGGAAACAATACGATGAGGATAATCATGAATTCAATAAAGCATTTGTATAAAAACTTCAACATGTATTGGAGTGGCAATATTCATAATAGCTGTAATTACATCAAAGTGGCCTGTAGGATTCTGCAATTCAATTTGATATTTGAATATTTGATTCAATCAAATTCAAATCAAAGAATTATTTATTTGATCAAATTCAAATTAATGTTTGATTCAATTCAATCAAATTCAAATCAATTATTCAAATATTTGATTTGATTTGAATCAATAGTAAAGCTATCTCCAAAGTTTCAGGAGTAACTCTTACTAAGTAAATCATAGTAAAAAGCGTCTCCACAGCTTTGAAAATGCCTTTTTTATTAAGAAAACTATAGTAAAAAGTTCCTCTATAGCTTTGAAAATGCCTTTTTTACTAAGAAAACCATAGTAAAAAGCATCTTCGCGATTTCAGAAATGCCTTTTTACTAAGAAAAACATAGTAAAAAACGCCTTCACAGTTTTGGAAACATTATTTTACTAAGAAACCTAGTAAAAAAATGCCTTCGCAGCTTTAGAAATGTTTTTTTACTAATAAATTATTATGAAGCCAAGATGACGGTTATTACTAAGTTAAACCGAAATCGCGATGGTGGTTATTATTAAGTTTTCTTAAATAAAACTAAAGCTGCGATGGCAGTTATTACTAAATTTTCTTAGTAAACTGAAGCTGCGATGGCGGTTATTACTAAGTTTTCTTAGTAAAACTAAATCTGCAATAGCTAAGTTTTCTTAGTAAAACTGAAGCTACGATAGCAGTTATTACTAAGTTTTCTTAGTAAATCGAAATCACGATGGCGGCAGTTATTACTAAATTTTCTTAGTAAAACTGAAAATGTGAAGTTATTTTATTAAGTTTAATAGTAAAAATCACCTGTTACTAAACTTACTTTGTAAAAGTTATCTTTGAAATTTTTTAGTGCAATTACTATTAATTTTCTTAATTAAAACTTTAGAATAACTTTATTTTAATATATCATTGTAAAAATTAAAAAAAAATTTATATTTG